AAAATACATGAAAACAAAAAGCCAACAATTTATAGCAAAGTGATTTAAACAAATCTAATGAAATCATTAGATTTTCCTGTGTCTCAGGTCCATGCTTTAAGTTCAGTATTCTTGTTTACATTGATCCCATGGTGTGTTTCTATAATGACACCAATCACTGTGGAACATCTCACAATCACAAGGCTGGGAGATCATCAAAATCATCAATGTTGCAGCGTGCTTCTTGTTAATGGTACGTTCTGTTATTGCCCAAGTTCATGGTTTAGTCCAAAATTACACCCTCCCACCCACTTTGTCAATTTATCCTGAATTACCTGTCAGTCCTGCTTTGTGCCAGGCCCCTGCTTGGAATTCCCCTTTGGAAATCCCCTAAAACTGGACTTCTCATTAGTCCATGTGACCCAGTTTTCCCCCCTACCTCCCTCACTGGACAATGCCTTTGTGAACCCCACCCTTTACCCCTTCTCAGAATTTCTCCAATTTGCCAATAAGTTCTACCTTTCCCTTAAACCTCCCCCACATTTAAGTTGTTGGACCTTTGCCATTTTTGTCTTTTGCCCTGCAAATTCCCCAAAGTGACAAATCCTTTTTATCCAATGCAAAAGACCTCTCCCTCCTCCCTGCCTCCTTCAAACACAACCTGACAGCTAAAAAGGCCATGGAGCCACAGCTCAAACCACATCTAAACCTCCTGCTCCAGAGTGTGACACCTCAACTCAACCATGGCACCTCTCAGGAGTGTTGGAACCCTAAAACCTGGGAATTTTCAACTTTTTGTGCTTTTTGACACTGACCCCCCCAGAGGAACACTGCTTTTGACCTGAGGCCTTGGAGAAGGCTTCCAAATTTGAGTGATGGAGTTAAAATCACTGGTGTGTAGTTAGAACAGAAAGGACCATGGGGTCCATGTGACACCATGTGGTGAAGGGTTTGGAATTTGGGGTTTTTAGAATATAGCAATAGGTATGGGACAAGATGGAAGTTCTTGGGTGTTGTCTCTTCCTCCTTTGTTCCTTCTTCCTCCAGTTTCAGGTAATAGTTTTTAGTTGAATAGTCAGTGCTGCACTGTGGGTCACAGGTGTTTGGTTATTGGGTCAAAAGTATAAATAATAAAGGTGTGAGCTCTTTATTGCACTGTTTAGAAGACCTTGCAATTTGCTGAGTTCAGCTCCATTTTGCTCACTTTTAGCTGGTAGCTAGAACTGCTGCAGAACTCTCTGTACTTCAGATAAGATTGAATAAACAACCAAATCCGAATGAGAAATCTGTCTCAATCTGTCTCTCTCATGCTTTGTCCTGACTCTGAGTGAAAGCAGAAGAAAATGAAGGCACTAATTAGGTGGTGCAGCTTAGCCCTTACAAGCAGGGCTTGGCCCCAGCCAGGTCTTGGCTCACCTGGCTGTGATTTGCACCTGAAATGTTTTACCTTAAACCAGCGTGTTTAGCCACAACGTGCTCTTGGCTGTTCCAACTTTCTGCAAGAACGTGGCAAGTGAACTTTGGGCAGCTTCCCTGCAAAGCTGGACAGGAAGGAACATTCTTTGTTCCCATCAGATGCTTCCTATTGCCCTCAGAAAAGCTCCACACCTGCAGCTCCGAGTTTCCTCCTGCAGTACACGTGCTGTTAACTCCCATGGTGGCCAGAGCCCTGAGGATTGTGCCTGTTAAAAACTCGAGGTGAGCGTGGCTTTGAGGAGATTTTTGTGGGACATGCAGCCACCAGCTCCTCTGTGCCCTGATTTTGTAATGATGAACAGAAATTTTTCACCAGCACAAATAATCCAAGACTTTCAGCAGCTGGAGCGTGTCTGCAACACCAAACCTAAAGGTGTTTAGGTTCTTCCTAAACCTTCAGCCCAGCCCCTGGCTCAGATTTCAGATGCAATTGGCACATTCAGGAACATTTCATCCTGCACAGCCTTGCCTTTACCCAGAACCTCCCATTTGAGCTCAAAGCACTTTATAAATGATGATTGTTTTCAGCTTCACAGCACCGCAGATGGCACAGAATTCCTGCCATCCCCATTCTACAGATGGGAGAAGGAGAATTGATGGGTGAGATCTTGCAGCATTTAAAGTCAATAGCAATTCTGAGACCGACTTCAAGAAAAGCAGATTTGGGGCCTGAAGTGAAGTTCACACAGGCATGAAGCAGAAATGAGAAAAGGCTCAACTTTGAATCTCAAACCTTGGCTAGAAGCTCCCTGAGGTGGAGACAATGACTTTTGAATATCCCTGAGGACACGGGGACTTGCTCCAGGTCCTGGGCTCCCACCACACCGTGGTGTTCCAGGGAATTTGGTCTCCCCATTCCCCACCCACTCCACCTCTCCTCCTGTCTCTGCACCTGGCTTTGTAGATTTTTTTTTTAAAGCAAAAACGGAACGCCTCCTGAATGCCCAAAGCCATCGTGTTAAATATCAAACCCCATCACATGCTCACATTCATTCTCTTCACTCTTGTGCCACGTTGGAAGCTTTAGCAGCCGCCTGCCAGACCCTTCCTTCAAGCTGCTTCCTCCCTGTGTGCAACCCCAGGCTTTGCTTCGTGACAAGGGAAGGATTTTCCTCTTTTTTTTTTCCCTTTTCCTCTGTTGGAAAAAACCCACCAGAAGATGCTGGCTGAGCTGGCAGGAGGACTGCAGTGGTTTCAGCGGGTTTTTTTTTTTTTTTGCAAGCAAAACCAGATCAAGCCAGGGCAGGGAGAGGATGGGAGCTGCACTAAGCAAAGAGAAGAAAGTTGCAGCACAGGATTAGCTCTTCAAATCAGGCACCTGTAACAGGAGTCAAAGGGCAATGAAGGCAAAAAGCTCCTGTTTGCAGCAAGATGGAAATAAATCGAAAAGTGTTTTGTATCTTGGTCTGTCCTGCAGGTGACATGCCCTGCAATGGTTAATCCTGTCAAACACCAGTGGAAATTCATCCATCCTTGCTCTCAGCCAGTGAGGGGAGGGTGACAATTCCATGCCAGGGCTGTGGAAAAGAGCCCTGGAGAGGATGGGGAAGGGAAAATCCTCCCCAGGTGTTCAATGCCCCTGCCCAGCACAGCAGGGCAGGCATCCCCCAGCACAGGAGGGGCTCCCCAGGAAGGGGCATTCATTTCTTGGTGGATTTCCAGGAGAAATCTCATTCCTTGCCTGCTGAAGAGCTAAAATGCAGAAATGGCTGCTGCCAGCACTACCCACCCGTGGCTCATGTGGGTGCTGCTGTGTGTGTGTGCCTGTCAGTGCTGCTGAAAACGCTGCTGCTGCAAGGGGAGACTGCACTGGGGGCTCCTGAGCCAGGGACACAGCCAGCACAGGGCAGGGTGAAGCCTCTCCTGGCCCTGCACCCCTTTTTCCATGGGGATTCTCACAGCCTTTGTGCTGTTCAGATGGGAACTGGGTCCAGCAGAGCTGGGATGGATCCCAAGGGGCTCCTGCAGGACTGGGTGGGCTCAGTGGCACCTCACACCCTGCCTGGCTGGGCAACAGCCTCCCCAGGCAGAGAAACCCTCCTTTTATAACCCACTGAGCTGCTTTTTGCTTATAAAATGGTTAAAACAACGCCCCTGTTGTTGCAAGTGCCATGGCCTCAATGTCCCCACATCGGCCAGGAGGAGGAAGGAGGGAAAAGGAAGGAAGACAGATTTTTTTCTCTTTTCTATCCCCAAAATCCCCTCTTTTCCAACCCAGTGCAGCACCAGCCTTCCTCCCACAGCCCCCTGATGGAGGAAAGGCTCCTGGGAGGAAGGGGATGCCCCTGGCACTGCACCCGGGCAGGGTCTTCTCATGCCCCTCTCAGAAGGCACAGAGGTGGCAGTGCCACCAACACGGTGACAGGACAACGAGGACACTGGCACCCACTTCAAACACAGCTTTGGGTCCACCCTGCCAGACAGGGACTCGGGGTCTGGCGCTTTTTGTTTTGTTTTCTTTTTTAAATAAACAGGAAAGCATATTGTGGCTAAACAATAGGAAAAGCTCCCGATGGAAATGAATGGATAATTTATTTATAACGCTGTTCCCCCCCCCTATCATGTGAACACCTGCTGGTGGAATAAAACCTGCTGTAACCCCAGGCAGGGAGGCAGAGTTTTCCCACTGGAACACGCCTGGGGCTGAGCTGGGGCATGTGCTTGACTCATT